CCCTTCCTGTGTGCTCTCTTACCTCCAGAAGGCCACTGGCTTTTGCCTAAGGCATGGCCTTTGGGTGCTCATTGCTCCCTTTCACCCCAAGGGTTTTTAAATCACTTAGATCACTGGTTCTCAGCCCCGAGTGCACATTAGCACGGCCCAGGAGCTTTTAATAAAGTGGAGTGCCCTGGGACTGGAGCCCAGACCAATTAATCAAAATTCCTGGTTGGTAGAGCCTGGACACTAGTGTGTTTTAAAAGCCCCCTGGGTGATTCTCATGTGAAGCCAGGGTTTAGCACCCTTGACTTAATAATAACGAGATTCCCCCATCTATGCAGGGGACTACTTGTTTGCCTGGGGATTAACTGCCCTGGTTTATCAGCATACTCTTTGTCGTATCCGTATACACATTACCCTTTATCTGGTCCTGATTTCCTTGGATTTAGAGGACTGATGGTGAATCATTGATACCGTCTTAACTAAGTCTGTAGAGTTCCTGCTCTTTTAGTTGCATGATAAAATTCTCATCATTGCTACAGCAAAGCAACCTTTCATTTTTCTCCAATCTGCACATCATCAGAGGAATGTTTTTTCCTCAAGAAAGAAATGGGTTGGTTCTCTTTAATGAAAGTTTGGGTGGATGTTAGAGCCAAGATAGACAAGTTGCACTGAATTGATTAAGGGGGACAGAGTCAGGGAGGTGAAAACATTTCTTGCTAAGCATCTTTTCCATTTTAGGTACCAACTGAATGGTTTCACCTGACTATCCCGGCTGTCCTATGAAATAGACACTGTCACCTGTGCATTAAAGTGTTAAGTATCTTGACCAGGGTTTTGTGGTTAGAATGACCAAAGCTGAAGTGTAACCCAGGTCTGTTCCTCTGGTCTCTCTATCACAAACCACAGCTGTCTTTCATCCCCCCACTCATCTTGTGTATTTGGTCTCTACAAAGCCATGGAAATCTATTCCCATCAAAATATCTTCTTTTTTTTTTTTTTTTATGCCTTCAGGAACATGTTTATTGTGTTTGAGATGATACATCAGGTGCCTAATCAAACTCTCTTTACCACGAATGGTAATTAAAATGTAGTAAAAAGAAGTTCCTTTGTTTTACTTGTAGAAGAGAAACATTAGGATGTAACTGTGTTAAACATGTTTTATCTTGAGTAGTCTCTGGAATCAGGCTTCAATATTCTTAAAGGTTGGCAGCAGGGTGGGAGTTCCTTTTCCCCATCCTAGCATTAGGGAGTTGAATTATAAATTTCAGACCTAGATTCTTGGCACCTAAGAGATTTCAAATGCAGGAGAGCTAAAGTATTCTTTCTTCTGTAGCTGGCTTAAGAAACATAGGCTAGCTGATACGTATGTTTGCATTTTACTCTTTGTCTTTTCCCTTTTATTTTTTCTTTTAGTTTTAAAAAATATTGTGTTCTAGGATTAAATAGTGAGTAGTAAGTGTGAAGTACTATGTGAGCATCTTTGGGCCCGAAAATGGTTCAGTTTCTATGTTCATTTCAAGTGCTCCTTTGAAGGATTCTGTGCAGCTCTTTCATCTTAACTTACGCTGAAGGGAGTTTGGAGAAGAGAAGGGAAGATCATAAAAAGGGGTAGAGAAACAAAACATAAAGGCTTTCATTTTTAGGACTTTTAAAATTTAAGATTTATTTCCTAATCTAGTATACTTGGTGTTTATCTTTCTATTGCTTTTCTTTTAAATAATTGGCAATACAATTTTGTATAACCTTTTCTTTAAGAGAGTACAACCGCATAGAAATTTCATTAATTTACAGCAGTGATTTTCAGCCTTTTTCATCTCATGGCACACACAAACTAAGTGCTAGAATTTTGCAGGACACCAACAAATATATTATGTATTTTGCTGAGCTGACAAAATAAGTGTAATTTTTATTCATTCACACTGGACAGCTATTGTTGTGTTGGCTGCTGTTGTTTTTTTAACTTGACAATCTAAGGGAAAAGAGGTCAGTGCTCCTGACTAGTCAGCTGTTGCATGTTTTAAAAGTTCTTGGAGGCACACTGGTTGGAAATCACTGATTTACAGTAATAAAACCTACTTTTAAGTAATAGATTTGGTTATACCGGTAAACATTTTAAGGGGAAGAGACCAGAAATATGCATTTCTTTGAGCTGATCTCTCTAGCTCTCATCTGAAGAGTCTTAGGAAGCTTTCTTTAGGTGAGTCATCTTCAGAAGGGAAGGTCTAGCTGTATCTAGAATAACAAACGGTTTCATTGGAACGATTTACTGTGCCAGTAAGTTTGCACAGCTAAATGATCCAGAAGAGCTGCTGCCTAAGAGGTTGCTATGTGAGTGTGAAGCACAGTTATTTTCTATTTAGTTCATACGGAAAGTTGAGATATATAAAACATTTACTAAGTTTTTATTGTGTTCAAGATACTTCATTAGTTGCTGTGCTGAGTACAAAGTTAATATGCAGTCAAGTGGGGTAGGTAAATAGGTTATTATAATATAAGGCACAGTGACATAAATTGAGGTTAAAACACTGTGTTTGAAGGTGAGCAGAGGAAGGAGTGATCCACTGTTATCACTCATGGCTTAAAATATAAAACACTTTTAATAAGATTTATTTTAATACTGGAGGCCAAGTGATTCATTTATCAGTCATTCATAAACCCTTTGTTTACTTTCTACATCTTAGTTAATTTTTCTGTTTCCATCTGTAGTTTTAGCTACTGTTTGGAGTAGGAGTTATTCCTAATACCCATGTGACAATTGTATTTTTCCCTTGCTGCTTATGAATTAAAATGAAATTGCTTTAAAAATAATGGACTTTTTCACAAGATATATATCTGGAGCTTCCAAGGCTGTATACTTTGTGAAAGGTTAAGGTTGGTGGTGCATGGGCTGGCTAAATAGCCATCTCAGATAGGTGAATAAAGAAAAATTGAATTTATTTGATTAAAAGGGGGTGGGAGTATCCAAAGGGAATGGCTCCGCGGCACTGAGTCAAAGAGTATTGGGTCCATGATGGGAGCAAATATATACAGTGGTGCCTCAGTTTTCAAACGTCTCCGTTGGCGAACATACGGTTTCTGAACGCTGTAAACCCAGAAGGAAATGCTTAGGTTTTCGAACACGCCTTGGAAGTGGAATGTGCCCTGCGGCTTCCACTGAGGGCAGGATCCTGAGGCCCAGCTGTCGGCTGTGGGTCCCTCGATTTTCCAACGTTTCAGAACCCGAACGGGCTCCCAGAGCGGATCACATTCGAAAACCGAGGCACCGCTGTACTTAGGACAGTGAGACAAGGAAGAGCACGGAAGAAGCATCAGGAGAGCCTAGGCTGGGCTGCTTTGGCTCACTGGGAAGTCAGGGAAAAGAGGGCCTTGGAGACAGGTTCAGGGGTTAGCCCAGGATGAGCTGCCACTGCCCATTGCTCCCCCGGTTGCAAGTCTCTTGAGGTCCCCTCAGAGGGAAGAAGGGGAATGGAGATGGGCAGTGCCAGGGGAGCATGCACTGAGTTCTTTGTCCTGAATGTATTTATCTCTTTCTAGCAGGTGGAAATCTTACTAGAGGTCTCAGGAGTGTCAATAGAATATTCATCAGCTTTCCAGGGTAGTAGTCTCCACTGATTGTTCAGTGCCAGGGCAGGGGGTCATTAGTCAATGTAGCTGGTCCTGAGGCAGCCACTGTGCCCTTTGTTTGGTTTTGCCTCCGTTCTGGGCCTGGAGCTGAAATACAGCTGAGGCCTAGCGTTACCTTTAGGGAGGAAGACTCAGGGGGTCTAAACCGCATGAGCAGCAATATGCTGGGGGAGGATAGGTTACCCTGGGGACAGGTTCTTGTTTTCCCAGTTTTGCCCCTTGCTAAGCAGCTGGGGCTTCCCGCCCTGGTGAGTTTCTGTACCCGAGTTTCTATACCTGGGTTTCTGTACCTGGCCCATCTAACTCTTTGTGGTTAACGTAGTTTAAATGTGAGAATAGCTTTGAAAAGGGTATTGAGTTAGGGGACTTCTCATTGGTTTATCAGCATCCATGAGCATGATTGTTATGTAATTGGAGTTGGTCTTCTGAACTCTACCGTCATGAATCTACTATGGAACATACCCAGGGAACTTGTATCAACAGAAAACATCCAGGGTGTCCTAGATTCATAGAAGTTTTCGGTTGAAAGAGACTTTGAAGTTTACCTAATCTAACCCCTCAGTTTGTAAAGATCAAGTCCTAGAGATGTTAGGAGATCAGTCTGATGGTCAGAATAATTTAGAGAGATCTTTGATATTGATGGACTCGTATTACTATTTTTGTTATTTCTCTAATGGTTTTAAAATGATATTTTATTTGCTGTGTAGAATTTTGCCAGCCATTAAGAACAGACATTTTAAAAAGATGACATGTAACTTAAAACAACATGAGCAGGAGTTTGGTGGTGGTGGTGGTGGTGTTTGCATTTCTATCTTTTTAATAAAGATTATTTGCTTCCAGCTCCATCCTTTTAATCCTGTAGGCTTCTACCCCTTAGTTAATGAGGGTGAACATGATGGCTTGATGGCAAAATGAAATCATAACTAATTATTCACAGAGCAGAACTAACTAAAATCAACTTGGCATTTTATTGAAAAGTGTGCCTTTTAAACAGGTCAGAGAGCTTTGTCTTAATCCCATTTTATATTGTAGAGTGCAGGATTATACTGCACACATTGGGTAGGGTTGATGACTGGTGTTCTGCGTCCTGCGTTGGGTTCAGAACACATGTGCGTAACTATCGCGACTTTCACCCGTTCCTTTTCATCATAATTTGTATGAGACATAGAGAACAATCAGACTTTTCTCGTTTTTTCACTTTCTCACTACAGCATAAAAATATCGTTTTTTCTGGTGATACACACACAAGTCATAAATATATAATAAAAAGAAAATATCACACATGTAATAAAAAGAAAGTCATTCTCACTAATTTAGCCTTAGCTGTTATTCCCAATGCGGTGCTCATAAGGCCACATTCTACAATAACATGTGGGGTTTTTTTGCAGGTACATGCTGGGACTTGCAGCGGTTCCAGCAGTTATACAGTTCTTTGGCTTTCTCTTTTTGCCTGAAAGCCCTCGATGGCTTATTCAGAAAGGACAGACTCAGAAGGCCCGGAGAATTTTGTCCCAGATGCGCGGTAACCAGACCATCGATGAAGAGTACGACAGCATCAAGAACAGCATTGAGGAAGAGGAGAAGGAAGTTGGTTCAGGTATGTGGATTTTGTACTTACGTGAATTTTAAAACTACACGGTGGTTTATTTGGAAATTATATTCTAGTATTATTTAATATCTCTAAATTATGTAGTCTTTATGTGTGTATAACCAAAAAATATATTTTCATTTTTAAAGCAACATAGTAATGTTATAATAGAATGAAGAAAAATTCCCCCATAATGCTACTATCCTCACAGAATTACTATTTTAATTTTTGTATAGTCTCTCCCAGCCTTTCTAAATTGGATATACTTGACATAGTGTCATTATTTTGTGTATATGGGTATTTTTTGAGTACATGTTTATTTTAGTTTATTATTTTATTTTAATTTTTTTTTATTAAAAACTTTTCATGTTTACACTATTGCAGATGTCCCCCATTCCCGCCCCCCTTTGCCTGCCTCGACCCATTCCCGAGTGCCCCTCCCCTGGCCTTCCCTACACTATTCCCCTCGTCCGTGGGGTGTGCATATATGTTCTTTAGCTAATCCCTTCACCTGCTTTATCCAGCCGCCCCCACCCCTCCTCTCTGGCACCCACCAGTCTGTTCCATGTACCCATGTTTCTGGTTCCATTCTGTTCATCAGTTTATTTTGTTCATTAGACTCTGTGTTAGTGAGATCGTGTGATATTTGTCTTTCACTGACTGGCTTATTTTGATTAGCATAATACTCTCTAAGTCCACCCATGCTGTCGCAAAGGATAAGAGAGCCTTCATTTTTACGGCCGTGTAGTATTCCATTGTGTATATGTGCCACAGCTTTTTTATCTACTGATCTGCTGTTGGGCACTTGGGCTGTTCCCAGATCTTGGCTATTGTAAATAATGCTGCTATGAACATCGGCCTGCATATATTCTTTCTAATTGCTGTTTCGGGATTCTTAGGATATATCCCCAGAAGTGGGAACACTGGGTCAAAAGGCAGCTCCATCTTTAATTTTGGGGGAAACTCCATACTGTTTTCCATAGTGGCTGCACCAGTCTGCATTCCCATCAGCAGTGTACTAGGGCTCCCCTTTCTCTACACCCTCGCCAGCACTTACTGTTTGATTTATTGATAGTAGCCATTCTGGCAGGTGTGAGGTGATACCTCATTGTAGGTTTTTGGTTTTTTTAAAATATATTTTTATTGTTGACTTAATTTTCATCTCTCTGATGATTAGTAATATTAAGCATTTTTTGATATGTCCATTAGCCATCTGTATGCCCTCTTTAGAGAAGTATCTATTCAGATCTTTGCCCATTTTTCAATTGGATTGTTTGTCTTCCTGGCGTTGAGTTCTGTAAGTTCTTTATATATTTTGGAAATTAACCCTTTATGGGATGAATCATTGGTGAATATGTTCTCCCATACTGTGAATTCTCTTTTCATTTTGTTGATGGTTTCTTTCACTGAGCAGGAGCTTTTTAGCTTGATGTAGTCCCCTTTGTTTTTCTTTTCCTGAGCATCTCTTGCCCTCGGACACATACTGGCAAGAATATTGCTGTGAGAGATGTCTGAGATTTTACTACCTACGTTTTCTTCTAGGATTTTTATGGTTTTGTGACTTACATTTAAGTTTTTTATCCATTTTGAATTTATTCTTGAGTATGATATAAGATGATGAGTACTCCAGTTTCAGTTTTTGCATGTCCCTGTCCAATTTTTTCAACATCATTTATTGAATAGGCTGTCTTTACTACATTGTATGCTCTTGTCTCCTTTGTCAAATATTAAATGTCCATAATGGTGTGGACAATTTCTGGGCTCTCTGTTCTGTTCCATTAGTCTATATGCCTGTTCTTGTGCCAATACTACAATGGCCTTGTTGTTTAGTTTGATATCTGGTATTGTGATACCTCCAACTTTGTTCTTCTTAAGATTGCTGAGGCTATTTGGTGTCTTTTTTCATTCTATATAAATTTTTGTAATATTTTTTCTAGGTCTTTGAAATATATGCCATTGGTATTTTAATAGGAATTGCATTGAATCTATAGATTGCTTTGGGTAGTATCACATTTTAATGATGTTAATTCTTCCAATCTATAACCATGGTATATGCTTCTACTTATTTGTATCTTTCTTAATTTCTTTCTTCAATATCCTGTAGTTTTCCTAGTACAGGTCTTTTACCTCCTTGGTTAAATTTATTCCTAGGTGCCTAATTTTTTGTTGTTGCAATAGTAAATGGGGTTATTTTCTTAGTTTTTCTTTCTTATATTTCATTATTGGTAAAAATGCCATTGATTTCTGGATATTGATTTTGTGTCCTGCAACTTTGTTGAATTCATTTATTACATCTGGTGGTTTTTTGGTGGAGTCTTTAGGGTTTTCTATGTACAATATCATGGCATCTGCAAATAAGGACAGTTTTACTTCTTCCTTTCCAACTTGGATACCTTTTATTTCTTCTTCTTGTCTGATTGCTGTGGCTAGGACTTCAGTACTATGTTGAATAAGAGTGGTGAAAGTGGACATCCCTGCCTTGTTCCCAATCTTAAGGGAAAAGCTTTTAGTTTTTGCCCATTGAGCATGTTTATTTTATATATAAACTTGTCATATATAAAGGTACGTATGCATTATTGATTTCCCATATTAATTAAAAAGTTATGTGAACTGTCAGATCATTTAAGTAAAATTAAATATTTGTTTATATGTTGCATTAATTTCCATACTAATTTTTATAAAGAATGAGAATACCTTCATTCTTTAGTTTTGGAATCATTCTGTGTTTTCCTGTTTAGTTGACCATCTAATTTAATTGTGCCATGTCAGAAATCCAAAAGGGGGAAGTTTCTAGTTAATGTATGTTGGTGAACTTATTTTCAGAGAAGTCATCATGTAGGGATTTACAAAATTCTCAGGCAGGATCTGTAATCCTGACACGCTGATTTGGGTAAGCGATTTATAGGATGCAAATGATGGGGAAAGGGAGACATTTTACAATACATTTTTCAACAACAGCCTGCAGGATTCACATTTCCCAAAATTGTTTTGTTTTCTCTTGACCTTCCTTTTGTCTTAATTGGTAGCTTCAATGAAGATGCTGACTTATATTACTCACATTATTTTTTATACCTGAGAAAATGCCAAACACACACCTCTTTGTTGATATATGTCATACACACGCTTGGAAGGTCTGTTCCCTCACCTTTTTCTATGATTTTTGGTGGAGCTGAAGATTGTGCTTTCCTCAAACAATAGAATGAACACTGTAGAAGCTGGCTACTACGTTAGCCACACATGGCTTGACTTAATTTTATTTAAAGTGCAGTAGTATGATGTGATAACCTTCTTGCTCAAACCAAAGCCCCAACTAATTGTCCGCCCATTCTAGGTGAAGGTCATTTTTTAAAGTTTCATAGCACATACCATTCTTAGCGTTTCCTGAATAGCACATTAGTGCAAATATAAAAGGGAATTTTGCTTTAACAAAGTAATATACTTTTACGGAATGCAACATTATGTTAAGTTTAAAAGTATGATTTTAAATGTCTATTTAAATTACAAATTACTTCTTTATGCTCCTGTCTAAATTCCTCTCAGCGGTAGCTTGAATGAAATAGGTTTTCATATTAATTGTTCTACATGAAACCTATGGGCTAATAATGTGTGAGTGAAAAACTTTTCAGAGTACTAGGTTATTAAATACTACTTAGAACAAAAGTTTTCATTAATGTAAGGGATAAGAAAAACAATTTAATAAAAAAAAAGCCTTCTTGTTTAACAATAGGAATACCATTGATTTTACTATAAAGCACTCAGCATGCATCTTCATTTTGACCACTTAAAAATCAGTCTGATGGTCTAGCCATGCACTGTTGACGACATACACTGTGTGGGTCCCGTGACTGTTTGGAATGTATAACCAAATGGATTTTTTTAGAAACTGGAGTTACATAGGATTGCAATTATCTGCATCTGCTTTAGTTTTTATCAGAAGTCTTTGGGAGCTAAAGAAGGCATTATTTCTTGGGTGTAGATAAAATTTTTAGCTATTTTACCTATTTCCTAAGATTGCTTTATACACACTTTTGGCACAGGTCTTAAAAAATGCTGTTACCCACTGAATCCTAATAATATTTGTCTCATGCTTGGGTAATTATTCTAAAGTTTGTAACTAATGAGATTAATAATTTATCCATTTGTGGATTTGTATTATTTGAGTACTATCATCTTGCTTCATTTCAAAACTAATCTCATACTCTTTTTTTTAAAAGTACCGTTTTAATAGGTTCATGGCCTGAGTGCAGACACACAGAAAATGCCAGCGTTTATATGGCAGCAGTGATATGGGGCCTTGTTCTTATGATTGAGAAACACGGCCACAGGAAAACATGGTCTGCACATGTATGAGTTTTATCCCAGCATTGTTGTGTCCAGGAGCAAGACTCTGTACCGGGTTCATTGGAAAATAGAGGCTGCTAGGGTTTGTGCTAACAAACTGGTAGGGTCCTGGCCCTCTGTTCTTTACACTGGAAAATGATAAGCTAGGTGGACAAATACACATGAAGAAACAGCTAACTTTGAAATAATAAAAATGCCCTGCCCAGAGACAATAAATCAGCCATTGCGTTGGAGAGTTAGACAGTGACCTGGTTAGCTGGTCGTGGATCCTGGTGGGGTGAATTCTGATCCATAGTTTCAAGCCTGGAAACTATGGGCAGTGGAAGGTGGCTGCCCGAGGGAAGAACCTTGACCTTTAGCCACCGCAAAATACTCAGGAGATTGGAGAGAAGTCGATTCATAAGACCCCTGTTTCTTTTAGGGAGAAATGTTTTATTGTTAGACATGGTGGCTTACTTACCTGATACCTGCGAGCTTCCGTTAGGTCTGATTCCAGATGAGTAAATCATGTCCTTCTCTAGAAGCTTTCAGAGGGTTTGAGAGCTGTGACTCCTATGGCACTTGCTTATGTGACCCTTCTTTTGTAGGATTTTTTTTCTTGGTTACTTGAGTTTAAACATCATCTCTTTGCGGAAAGTAGGTGTAGCTATTCAAGTATGTACTTGTTA